ATTGTGTCAGTTAGCTATTGTTACAGTAATGTTCTGCAGTAAACACCGCAATATTCTGCAATAAATAACTGCAATACCCAAGTGATCACAACAACATACATAATTTTTGCTGATGAGTCTACAGGTCTTCAGAGCAGTTCTGGTTTTGCTTGGGCTCACTTATACTCTGTAGTCAGCTGTGGGTCAAGTAGATGGCTCCAGTGGACCATGACTGGACTCTGTCCTGTGCTTGGATTCTCTCCTTTGCTAGCTATCAGCTAGTCTAAGATGGATTCAGTTCTCATCTGCATTTATTCATTCAAAACACATTTATTTAACGTGCTGGGCAGAACTTCTTAAAGCAAGTTCAGGTCCAGTGTAAAAGATGTCAGATGACTACCCTACACCAACAGTAACCAGCCTAGGCTAGACCTGGTATTAATGATGCCCTTGGTGCATTAAGGATATAATGATGAGCAAGACCAATAGTATCTCTGTTTTCACAGAGTTTATAGTCTAGTGAGGAAAAGTGACGACAAACAATTAAGTACTTATTTTAAAATATACTTCAATGAAAATAAATAGTCTACAATGATATGGAATAATAAAGATGGGCATTTGTTAGATAGGATATGGTTTCTCTCCAGGTCTTTTCTGTTCATTCTTTGTCACATTTTTCTTTTTCACTGCAATACTACAAACGGGCTTATTCAGACTACAGGGATATGAACACAGTCCCACAATAGGCTTAGAGATCTGAGATCATAGAGGAAAAGAGAGTCTTTACCCTCAGCTTGTAAACTTTTCTGGAAGTTATCATACCTATCAGCCTGACTCAGTTCTTATATCTATCCCTCTGGTCAATCACTGTGAATAGGGATGATTATGGCAGCCCACATTCAGAGGACTTATTTAGCCTTGGGATACGAAAATTGGTTTTTATAACGTAGAGTTCAAAAAGGTGTCACTAATATGGAAACAAGAGAAATATTGCTAAGCCTGGGTCCCTCACTCAAAATGTACATTTATCAAACTGAATTCATACCTAAGTCCTATCAATATGTCTCACAGTAATTAATACATGATTTGATACATTTTTGAAATAACGTAAGTTAAATAACTTTCAGATATTCAAATATTCTTTTAGGTACAAAATTGTAGAAAGAAACTTTAATCTCATTTCTGTTTTCAAAGCTTCTTGCCTTTTTCCCCACTCAGGCCTGATGTAGACTGGAAAACTAGTGGAAAATGGAATAGTCATGATTTTTCGAACTGTGTAGAAAACCACCATCTTCACCTTTATGGGGAGCCCTGCACTCCCTAACTATAAGCCCAACAACGGTCTTCAAAAAAAATCCTTTTTTGTTGGATATTTCTCCCCTGTGGATCTGTAGTTATGCGATAGGCTAAGAATGGCAGAGCTAGGTTTAGCCAAATCTTAGCAATTCCTACAGCGATGTTTCTGACTTTGGGTCGTCAGCTGCAATTCTAAGAAAACAGAAAACCTCCCACTTTGCTTTTGTCGGGCAATAATTAT